AAAACATTCTCAGTTTCAGGTGTGTGTGTGTGTGTGTGTATGCATGTGTGTATGTATGTGTGTATATATGTGTGAGTATGTGTATATGTGTGTATGCATGTATGTGTATGTATGAGTGTGTGTATATGTGTATGTGTGAGTGTGTGTGTAAATGTGTGTATGTGTGTATGTATATGTGTGTATATATGTGTGTGTATGTGTGTGTGTGTGTGTGTGTGTGTGTGTGTGTGTGTTGTTTGAGACAGGGTTTCTCTGTGTAGCTTTGCGCCTTTCCTGGAACTCGCTCTGTAGACCAGGCTGGCCTCGAACTCACAGCGATCCAACTGCCTCTGCCTCCCAGAGTGCTGGGATTAAAGGCGTGTGCCACCTTAAATAGACTTGCCAGTCATTTGCATATTGTCTCTCAATTTCAACAATTCAGCACGGTGGAAAGAACTGTAATACTTCAGCTGCATGCCATTACAACTACTTGACCCCTAAACTCCTCTGATCTGTGGCGTAGCTTCTTCCTGTCTCTGTCAGCCTCTCTTACGTCTCGTGACAGGTTTCCTCTCTGCTCTTCTGTAGGTTCCTACCTGTTCATGACATCTGTGCACTGAGATTCTGATGGTTCCTTTCCTGGCCCCTGACTTCTCGAGTCTTCCTCTGGATTAACTATCACATTGAATCAGCGTTTCTGGTTCCGATTCGAAAAGTGAGAAATCTTGTGGCCTCGCTAATCTTTGTATGTCACATCCCATCACAGGTCTCCGGAAAGCTGCACCATATACACACACCACAAGTCAGCTGTCTGACCCTACACCCAACATCTCCATTTAGCCCCTCAATAATAGCTTAAACTTAACACACTGAAACTGAAGTCTTGATTTTTCACACCACATGCTGGTGAACACCTACCCTCTCCATGTGTGCCCCACCCCTTGAGCTGTTCACACCTACCCTCTCCCTGTGTGCCCCACCCCTTGAGCTGTTCACACCTACTCTATCCATGTGTGCACTTCCCCTTTGAGCTGTTCACACCTACCCTCTCCATGTGTGCCCCGGCCCTTGAGCTGTTCACACCTACCCTCTCCATGTGTGCCCCACCCCTTGAGCTGTTCACACCTACCCTCTCCCTGTGTGCACCACCCCTTGAGCTG